CCCAGGATCCCAGCGGGAATGGGGCACCCCAGGATCCCAGTGGGAATGGGGCAGCCCAGGATCCCAGTGGGAATGGGGCAGCCCAGGATCCCAGCGGGAATGGGGCAGCCCAGGGTCCCAGCGTGAATGGGGCAGCCCAGGATCCCAGCGGGAATGGGGGCAGCCCAGGATCCCAGCGGGAATGGGGGCAGCCCTAACCTGCCTTGGGATGGGCAGGTCCCACACCTCAGGGGGAACGGATCACCCCAGGATCCCAGCAGGAATGGGGCAGCCCAGGATCCCAGCGGGAATGGGGCAGCCCAGGATCCCAGCGGGAATGGGGGCAGCCCAGGATCCCAGCGGGAATGGGGGCAGGCCTAACCCACCTTTGGGTGGAAAGTTCCCACACCCCAGTGGGAATGGGGGCAACCCTAACCCGCCTCAGGATGGGCAGGTCCCACACCCCAGTGGGAATGGGGCAGCCCTAACCCACCTCAGGATGGGCAGGTCCCATATCCCATATCCCAGTGGCAATGGGGGCAGCCCTAACCCACCTCGTGGTGGGCAGTGAGAATGGGGGCAACCCGTGGGGACCAAACAGCCCTGACCCACCTCAGGGTGGGCAGGTCCCATATCCCAATGGGAATGGGGGCAGCCCTAACTCGCCTCAGGATGGGCAGTGGGAATGGGGCAGCCCTAACCCACCTTGGGGTTGGCAGGTCCCATATCCCAATGGGAAAGGGGACAGCCCATAGGGGCCAAAGCAGCCCTAACCCACATCAGGATGGGCAAGTTCTACATCCCAGTGGGAACAGGGCTGGCCTGTGGGGGCCAAGGCAGCCCTAACCCACCTTGGGGTGGGCAGGTCCCATATCCCAGCAGGAATGGGGACAGCCCATAGGGACCAAACCAGCCCTAACCCATCCCGGGGTGGGCAGTGAGAATGGGGGCAACCTGTGGGGGCCAAAGCAGCCCTGACCGACCTCAGGGTGGGCAAGTCATCCCAGGATCCCAGTGGGAACTGGGGCAGCCCTAACCCACCTTGGGATGGGCAGTGGGAATGGGGACAGCCCATAGAGGCCAAAGCAGCCCTAACCCACCTTGGGATGGGCAGGTCCCATATCCCAGCGGGAATGGGGACAGCCCATAGGGACCAAAGCAGCCCTAACCCCCCTCAGGTTGGGCAGGTCACCCCACGATCCCAGCAGAGAAAATCTCCTCCTGATCCATCCTCATCCATTTCACACCCCACAGCCCCTCCTGATTCCTCACATCTGGGCACCTGGGGGCAAAATTCCCAACAGATTCCCAAGTGGAAGGGACTGGGAACATCCATAAAAGGTGCTGGGAACACCTTGGAGACCCCGAACTTCCCAGAGTCCTGAGAACTCTGAATCCATTTCGGGGCGAGGTCACAGCCCTGCTGAGTAAAGGGGGCAGAGCAGGAAGAGAGCTGGGCTCTGGTCATTTTGCAGACCCAATTTTGGTCAGAAATCTCCCAAAATCCAAATCTGGGCTGTCCCCTTGAGGCTTTGGTGAGTTCCTTGCAGAGTTTGGGAGCAGAGGAGGGAAAGCTCCGCATGGTGAGGCTGATCCGAGCTCACGTGGAGATCACAGAATCATGGAATGGTTTGGGCTGGAAGGGCCTCAAAGCCCATCCAGTTCTACCTCCACGGGACAGCTCTGCAGGGGTGGAGGAGGATTCATGGCACGGGAGAAGTTTGTCCCACTCCACGTCCAGAGTGATGGCTGCGGGAGGAGGGGACTCTGGTGGGGAGGGGACAAAAGGGACAAAGGGCACTGAGTTTGTCTCTCCCACCCCGCAGGGCCGCCTGGAGATGTGGGTGGACATGTTCCCCATGGACATGCCAGCGCCCGGCCCTGCCATCGACATTTCTCCCAGGAAACCGAAGAAGTAAGGAATGGCCCAGCCACCCAATCCCAGGGGAAATGGGAGATGGGGATAGCGCCCAGCCTCATCCAGACACCCAATCCCAATGGAAGTGGGATGTGGGGATGGAGCCCGGCCTCACCCAGCCACCCAGTCCCAGGGGAAACGGGAGGTGGGGATGGAGCCCGGCCTCACCCAATCCCAGGGAAAAGAAATGGGAGGTGGGGATAGAGCCCGGCCTCACCCAGCCACCCAATCCCAATGGAAACGGGAGGTGGGGATGGAGCCCGGCCTCCCCCAGACACCCAATCCCAATGGAAACGGGAGGCGGGGATGGAGTCTGGTCTCGCCTAGCCACCCAATCCCAATGGAAACGAGAGGTGGGGATGGAGCCCGGCCTCTCCCATCTCCTCTCCCATCTCCTCTCCCGTCTCCTGCTGCTGCTCCATGGCCAGCCCAGCCTCTGACTGGGTTCCTCAGCCACGCTGACACTTCAGAGTACCGAGCTCCTGAGGGCAGGATCCCCCCTCTTCCAACCCCTGCAGGTCCTGATCTTTCTCATCGGTGTAAAGGCCTTGGGCAGAGGTCAGGGTGGAGTGCAGTGCCCAGCCTGAGCCTCTCTGGGGCAGGGGTATCCTTAAATCCCACCCAGTGCAATCCCCTGCCATGGACAGGGACACCCAACTCTGTCCCAGAGTGTTCCGAGCCCTGTCCTGGCCTTGGGCTCTGCCAGGGATCCAGGAGCAGCCACAGCTTCTCTGGGAATTCCATCCCAGCCCCTCCCCACCCTCCCAGGGAACAATTCCTGCCCAATATCCCATCCATCCCT